TGCAGCCATTATACTTTCCACCTCCAGGATTCAGGTTTGGGTAGCCAGTTTTCCTGAACCCCTTCATTATGTTAGTTTGAAAATAAATGGTATAAAATACCGACACAGTGGAAACACAAACACATATGCAGTTTAATGTGATCCTTTATTGACAACATTTCACCCACACAGTGGGCTTTTTCAAGTCACACACAGATCTACCTGGGGTGGAAGGTACGGGAGTATTTATAGTCAGGTTCAGAATGTTGAGGTCAGGTGGAGAATGCTGCATCTGATGATCTACCGGGTGGGGTTATAGAGTCTTGGGTAGCTTGGCAGGGGTATTGGACAAGTTGTGAGTAGACCTTCTGCAGTGTTCTATGTTCTTATGTGGGATAGCGATGAAGAAGTTTCTTGGCGAGTGGTTCAGCTATGTTATAGAAGCCGTTGTTCTGGTTGAAATTGTTGGTTTTAGAGATAAGCGATGATTCCAGGATTCTTCGTATTGAGTGTTGTCTTCTGTGGGGATAAGTCTTGAGTTTCTGTAGTTATTAAAAATGGTTGTGTGAATTGCGATGTTGTACACAGGCATTCCTTGTATCGTCAGTCCTGCTTGCGTATTGGTGTTCTGAAATACGTGTTTGGAGGTCTCTTGATGTTTCGCCCATGTATAATTTGTTGCAGTCATTACAAGGGATTTATGTATAAACCCCCGCAGAGGATGGAAGCTTGTCCTGTCTACTACTGGTGATGTCCTTGATGGTCATGGTTGTGGAGGTAGATACTTGGAATGATGTATTGGAAAAGATGTTGGAAAATGTTTGGCAATGGAGTTGGTGGGGAGGACTATGTAAACTCTTCTCGGCAGTGTCTTCTCTGGGTGTGTTGAAGATGTTTAATGCCCGCCATCTGCAGTCTCTGATGAAGTGACGAGGATAGTGGAGTTTTGAAAATACTTGTTCAATTATAGTGCATTCTTCCTCAAGGAACTCATTGCTGCAGATTCTGAGTGCGCGCAGGAAGAAGCCTATAATTACACCACTTTTTATTTTTTGGTGTCATGGTGAGAGTAGAAGTGGAGATCGTTTGGTTTGGGTTTGGGTTTTCGATAACTTCAAACGAAGTTCATGGTCAGTTTTGCAGAGAACATCAAGGAAAGGAAGAGTGTTGTCGACTTCTTCTTCAAGTGTGAACTGGATTGAGGGCTCGACCTGGTTGAGCTTGTCTTGGAGAGCTTGAACGTTGAAGCGCCTGGGAGCTATGAGGAGAATGTCGTCAACATAATGGAGCCAGGTGACAGTCGAAGGAATAATGGTGAAGAAACGCTCGGCTTCCATTATTCCTTCGACTGTCACCTGGCTCCGTTATGTTGACGACATTCTCCTCATAGCTCCCAGGCGCTTTAACGTTCAAGCTCTCCAAGACAAGCTCAACCAGGTCGAGCCCTCAATCCAGTTCACACTTGAAGAAGAAGTCGACAACACTCTTCCTTTCCTTGATGTTCTTCTCTGCAAAACTGACCATGAACTTCGTTTTAAAGTCTATCGAAAACCAACCAACCAAAACGATCTCCACTTCTACTCTCACCATGACACCAAAACTAAACGTGGTGTAATTATAGGCTTCTTCCTGCGCGCACTCAGAATCTGCAGCAATGAGTTCCTTGAGGAAGAATGCACTATAATTGAACAAGTATTTTCAAAACTCCACTATTCTCGTCACTTCATCAGAGACTCCAGACGGTGGGCATTAAACATCTTCAACACACCCAGAGAAGACACTGCCGAGAAGAGATACATAGTCCTCCCCACCAACTCCATTGCCAAACATGTTTCCAACATCTTTTTCAATACATCATTCCAAGTATCTACCCCCACAACCACGACCATCAACGGGCATCACCAGTAGTAAAAGGACAAGTTCCATCCTCTGCAGGGGGAACATAATCCCTTGTAATGACTGCAACAAATTATACGTGGGCGAAACATCAAGAGACCTCCAAACACGTATTTCAGAACACCAATACGCAAGCAGGGCTGACGATACAAGGAATGCCTTTTGTACAACCCTCGCAGTTCACAACAACCATTTATTTTAAATACAAAACTCAAGACTTATCGCCACAGAAGACAACACTCAATACCGAAGAATCCTGGAACCATCACTTATCTCTATAACCAACAATTTCAACCAGAACAACGGCTTCTATAACATAGCTGAACCACTCACCAAGAAACTTCTTCATCGCTATCCCACATAAGAACTTAGAACACTGCAGAAGGTCTACTCACAACTTGTCCAATACCCCTGCCAAGCTACCCAAGACTCTATAACCCCACCCGGTAGATCATCAGCATTCTGAACCTGACTATAAATACTCCCATACCTTCCACCCAGGTAGATCTGTGTGTGACTTGAAAAAGCCCACTGTGTGGGTGAAACATTGTCAATAAAGGATCACATTAAACTGCATATGTGTTTATGTTTCCATTATGTTACTTTGCTCACACTCGAACAGCATGTCCACATTTAAACAACTTGTCTCCACACCAGTTAAACACACCTGCTACATACTCAAGTCAGTACCACTCATAACCTCCTTCAGAACTTCCCCCAACCCTTCCTAGGATAATCCTTTCTTCTCCTTTCGCTCCAGGTTTATATAAACTTTTGCTCATCCTAGTCTGCTTTATCTTCTCTAAATGCCCAGATCACCTCAAAACCCCCCCTCATCCACCCACTGAATAATAATTTTCATAATCCAACACCATCTTCTAATTGCTATATTCTAAATTTTGTGCAAAATATTCACATCACACATGACTTTCAAACATGACATCCCCACTGCCTCCAGCCTCTTCCTCACTGCTGCATTTCAAGCCCATGCTTTACACCTATTTAAAAGAGTTGGTACCACTTTTCTCTGGTACTATACATTCTTTTTATTTTTTTCAACAAACCAGCCATGTCCCACTGAGGCAGGGTGACCTTAAAAGAAAAAAGTTTTTCTTTTTAAATTTAGTAATTTATACAGGAGAAGGGGTTACTAACTCCTTGCTCCTGGCATTTTAGTCACCTCTTATGGCATGCTTATTTTTTGCCTCCATAAAATTCTTTATCTTCCCAAACACCTCAGTACTCAACCTGCCTTTCCCCCCACCTATCATCTATTCTGTGGTTTACTTTTTCATTCATTTACCTCCTCACTACTCTTTCCCTCCAATCTGCTATTTGGTATTTCATTGTCTAAACTATTTTTTGTTTTACTCTCATCGCCTTGCTCTTTCCTACGTTATTTTTAATTTCATTCTTTTATACACCCTTCCAAATTCCTCCAACGTTTGCAACTTCTTTTTAGAATCTCCCAAAAGAAGTGTCATTGGGAATGAGCAACTGTGACAATTCCCACTTCATCTCTGACATTTTATCTTTCAATTCCACACTTCTCTCAATACCCTAGCATTAACTTCTTTTACAACCCTGTCTTTTAACTATACTAAGCAACCATTGTGATGTCACAATTCCTGTCTAAGTCCTACTATTACTGGAAAATGGTCCTCTTTTTCCCTACATACCCTAATCTAAACCTCACTTTTTATATAAAAACTACTTTTAGTAACCTACCACCTATTTCATACACTAGCAACATCTATCACATTCCTCCTTTATGCATCCTATCGTAAATGCAACAAACTGTCCCTTACCCTTATTAAAGTATTTTTTGGTTATTTGCTTCAGTGTAAATAATTGGTCTCCACATCCCCTACCTTTCCTAAATCCACCTTATTTCTCTGCAGTTTTACTCTCTGTCTAAACCTTAACTCTTTTAATAATATTTCTGCTATACATTTTGCCAGGTATACTGGCTTTTTTCCCTATAATGGTTGCATTCTCTCTTCTTCCTTTTTGCCTTATACAGTGGAACTGTGGATGATCTCTGCCATTTCTAAAGTACCTTTCCCTCTTGCATGCATACACTGAACAAATACACCAAACACTATGTACCCACCTGCTTTTAACATCTCATCTGTCCCAGCTACTTTACCCTCTTTAATTTTACCCATTGCTTCACTCGTTTTTTCCAATATCACTTCATTAGGAAACATAGGATTATTTATGAATGCTCTAGCCTTAAAAGTAGCTATAGAATGAATAGCTGTACTGAATATCCTGCTTTCTTAATTATCTTTGATATACCTTTGACAGATCTTGAGAGATTTCCTATTACCACAGCCTGGCCCTGGGCCAGTCTTATAAGAACATAAGAAAGAAGGAACACTGGCAACAGGCCTACTGACCCATGCGGAGCAGGTCCATATCCCCCCCTCCAGGATTAGCCCAATGACATCCCCCCCTCCCTCAATTAACCCAATGACCCACCCAGTCTGGCCACCTCCACTCAAGGAAGGAGCACGGCACCAGACCCAGCAGCACAAGCTAGTCAGGTCCAACTCACACCCACCCACACCCACTCATGTATTTATCTAACCTATTTTTAAAACTACACAATGTTTTAGCCTCAATAACTGTACTCGGGAGTGTGTTCCATTCATCCACAACTCTATTACCAAACCAGTGCTTTCCTATATCTTTCCTGAATCTGAATTTTTCCAACTTGAAACCATTGCTGCGAGTCCTGTCTTGGCTGGAAATTTTCAGCACGCTATTTACATCCCCTTTATTTATTCCTGTTTTCCATTTATACACCTCGATCATATCCCCCCTAATTCTACGCCTTTCGAGAGAGTGCAGATTCAGGGCCCTCAGTCTATCCTCATAGGGAAGATTTCTGATACATGGGATCATCTTTGTCATCCTCCTCTGTACATTTTCCAGAGCATTTATATCCATTCTGTAATACGGTGACCAGAACTGAGCAGCATAGTCTAAATGAGGCCTAACCAAGGATATATAGAGTAGAAGAACAACCTGAGGACTTATCGTGCTTGTCTGGTCAACCAGGCTGTTACTGCTGGTGGACCACTGGCCCACAGCCTCCTTAACTTTGACTCCCTTTACAGAAAGATGTGGAGATGCCAAGTGTGGTGACACTAGCATGCATGGAGCTTAGTGGGATGGGGTTCAGCAATCGGGAATGTGAGGCCCAGAAAGCAGTAATGCAGGTATTTAATTCTACAAGTTGTTAACTATGGTTTTAGTAAACCATTTTACTGACTTATACATAACCAATATAGTCTCATAAGGTATAGTATGTTGCTAGATTGGTTTTAGATTTTTTTTTAACATGCTGGCCATCTCCCACCAAGGCAGTGTGACTTAAAAATGAAACACTTTCACCATCATTCACATTATCACTGTCTTGCCAGAGACATGCAGATGTCACTCCAAACAACAAATATGTATCCCAAACCCTCCATTAGAATGCAGGCACTATACTCCCCACCTCCAGGACTCAAGCTTGGCTAACCAATTTTCCTGAATCCCTTCCATACCTTGCTCACACTCCAAAGCTCATCAGGTCCCAAAAACCATTTGTCTCCACTCACTATTATCTAACATGCTCTCATATGCCTGCTGTATATCCAAGCCCCTTGCACACAAAGCCTTTACCCCCTCCCTCTATCCATTTTCTCTCAAATTCACACTATTGAAAGCCTCACACCCAGCTATTATAAAATCTTTGCCAGTACTCTTCCTTGTCCACAATGCCATTTTGCGTGTATTAAAAAGTTTCTCGATGTTTTTCATTTGCATACCATAGAAAATGCTGCTTTTTATCTTAACCAAATAAAGGTATCTTGGCAGTTTTTTCATGCATTTTAAATTAATTTTTGAATCAGTGGAGTTTACCTCGTGCCCCAATGGGATTAATTTCTTTTCTCTAGTTTTAAAATTTGTGGAGGCTAGTTCAGTACAGTTTTTTTGTATTTTTAAATAAATGCCTTATTTTCCCTCTTATGAGAATATATGTGTGTGAAGACCCCAGTAAAGTAAAATATGAGTAATATTTTTGTATGCTGTTTGCTGTATTTATCATTAGTTATTTATTGCACAATTCACATATTCACCTTTGCAGTATTCCATATACTATATGTCATACTGCAAGTTTAAAATATTCAGAAGAGGCACTATTTATTTTATTGGATTGGAAAACATTTACAATTTATTTACTATTTACCAAAACAGGCACAAATGTCTTCACTGGAGAAAAAAGCATATTGTGTTGTAGGTCATCCATTTTCCCTTGCATCCAGTAATGAGATCAGCAATGTGTTGTATGGGGAACTTCACCTACCATCTCCTACTGGACCCTTAACTCCTACAAGGTAACAATATGCTTAGGCTTTTTTTTGTGCTAGCAAGTTTTGCCATCTTCATTAATTTATTTGTGCTCTTCAAGGTAGGTGCTTAGATACTGGTAAAGGGCTTTTCATCCAAAGAATTGGAGCTACCCTCTTTGTAATTGGATGGTTTTCTTTTGATTTCCTTGAATGAAATCCGATTATCTCCCATTCCTCAGGTGCTGTATAACCCTTACAGGTTTAGCATTTTACTATGAATGTGCTAATGAAGCCTTTGTTCACAACTAGTACTTTTTAGTAATTTTATCATTGTTTATTTTAGTTGAGCACAAAATTTTACTCTTATCTTTTCCACAGAGGAAGGAAAGGTCGAGGTGGAATAGGAAGTCGAGGAAAACGACTTAGTGGACCAACCAATAAAGAGGCACTGGAGAAACTCTCAAAAATACACCCTCTTCCTGCAGTTATTACTCAGTGGCGTAAAATAAATTCCTCCCTCAACAAGGTAAAAATTTAATTAATGTGAATAATGTCTTACACAATAATACACAAATAATTTTCACATTGGAGAATGAAACTTATGACAACATTTTGGTCGGAATTGAATCGATAACTAGTCAAACTGAAACATCATCAAGAGTTTCATTCTCCTGTGTGCATGTTATTTGTGTATTTTTCCAGTCACGGTATTGTTCCTTTTTATTCTTTCTGGATAATGTCTTATAAACTTTCTTCTTCTTTCAACAAACCAGCCATATCTCAGTGAACAGGGTGGCCCAAAAAGAAATACAAAAGTTTCTATTTTTAACTTTAGTAATATATACAAGTGAAGAGGTTACTAGCCCCTTGCTCCCAGCATGTTAAATCGCCTCTTATGACATGCATGGCTTATGGAGGAAGAATTCTGTTCTACTTCCCCATGGAGATAAGAGGAAATAAACAATAACAAGACCCAGTAAGAAAATAGAAAACCCAGAGGGGTGTGTATATATACGCTTGTCCATGCATGTGTAGTGTGACCTAAGTGTAAGTAGAAGTAGCAAGACGTACCTGAAATCTTACATGTTTATGAGACAGAAAAAAGACACAAGTAATCTTTTCTTTCTTTCTTTCAACACACCGGCCGTATCCCACTGAGGCGGGGTGGCCCAAAAGGAAAAACGAAAGTTTCTCCTTGTACATTTAGTAATATATACAGGAGAAGAGGTTACTAGCCTCTTGCTCCTGGCATTTTAGTCGCCTCTTACAACATGCATGACTTACGGAGGAAGAATTCTGTTGCACTTCCCCATGGAGATAAGAGGAAATAAACAAGAATAAGAACTAGAAAGAAAATAGAAGAAAACCCAGAGGGGTGTGTATATACATGTATGTGCTTGCACATGTATGTGTAGTGTGACCTAAGTTTAAGTAGAAGTAGCAAGACATACCTGAAATCTTGCATGTTCATGAGACAGAAAAAAGGACACCAGCAATCCTACCATCATGTAAAACAATTACAGGCTTTCGTTTTACACTCGCTTGGCAGGACGGTAGTACCTCCCTGGGCGGTTGCTTTCTACCATCATACTACCTAGGACACATTACTTACCATAAAATATTTTCATCCTTATATCGAGTGTGAATATATTTATTGTATGTCTTTCTTCTTCTTTCAACACACCGGCCGTATCCCACCAAGGCAGGGTGGCCCAAAAAGAAAAACGAAAGTTTCTCTTTTAAATTTAGTAATTTATACGGGAGAAGGGGTTACTAGCCCCTTGCTCCCGGCATTTTAGTCGCCTCTTACAACACGCATGGCTTACGGAGGAAGAATTCTGTTCCACTTCCCCATGGAAATAAGAGGAAATAAACAAGAACAAGAACTAGAAAGAAAATAGCAGAAAACCCAGAGGGGTGTGTATATATATGCTTGTACATGTTTGTGTAGTGTGACCTAAGTGTAAGTAGAAGTAGCAAGACATACCTGAAATCTTGCGTGTATATGAGACAGACAAAAGACACCAGCAATCCTACCATCATGCAAAACAATTACAGGCTTTCGTTTTACATTCACTTGGCAGGACGGTAGTACCTCCCTGGGCGGTTGCTTTCTACCATCATACTACCTAGGACACATTACTTACCATAAAATATTTTCATCCTTATAGCGAGTGTGAATATATTTATTGTATGTAACCTAAATAAAAGGAGATTGGGTATAATTGAAAACCACCGTATTCACGAAACACTGTAGAGCGAAGCGCTGTAAAGTGGGGCCCTCCTGTGTCACCTGTCTTTTCTTGTGTGCTCCGTGACTCTGTTCATTGAACCTATTTTTTCTCATCTTTGCCTTTATTTTATTAGATATTGAGCTAGTATGTATCCTTCTCTCCTGAATTGAGAGATACCAATCACAATTATAGAGACAAATACAATACATGTATTATGGAAATGTTTGTTGACAGAGCTTGAGGGCTTGAGCATCCACCAGGATGGTGTGAGGGTGTTAGATAGGAGTGAATGGAGAAGAGTAGTTTTTCAATGTTCATATTGTTGGATTGTAGCAAGGTAACATGTATGAAGAGATTCAGGGTAAACTGGTTAGCCAGACTTGAGTCCTGGAGATAGGAAGGTTAGGTAAGGTTTGTCAGGAAACAGGACAAGTGTTTCCTGACGCAGGTCTTAGTCAGACGATGACCTGCCTTTGGAGCTTTTGGTCATCTGACCGAGGCCTTCCACTGGCTTACCAGTCCACCCCTTTAAAAATTATGGTCATAGTTATAACCATTTCTCGTATTAGGTAGAAAGGGCAGTGCATGCACTCTGAAAGAAGGGTGGAGATGTTGCAGTCAGAGGGTAATATAAATTATGATGCCAGCATATTGGCATTTTTGGCAAGACAGTAATTGAATGAGCTATGGTGAACGTGTCTTCTTCTTTCGGTCACCCTGCCTTGGCAAGAGATGGCCATTGAGGTAAAACAACTATGAAGTCTTGCTTCTTTACCAACAGGTTGTATTTCCCCTTCAAGAAGCACGTGTTCACTGTTCCCGCTTGTCTATGGATCGCATTCATCCACTCACCCACACCTTCACTGCTACAGGCAGAGTTACTATGCATGAGCCTAACCTGCAAAATATTCCAAAGGATTTTAATATTCAGGTAAGATATTTTTAAGGTGAAAATAATTGATAATTTGTATTAGGTGACTAGAAGACAGTAAATAGATGATGAATTAAAGAATACAGTGGACCCCCGCATAGCGAACTTAATCCGTGCAAGAGGGCTGGTCGTTATGCGAAATGTTCGCTATGCGAATTAATTTTCCCCATAAGAAATAATGGAAATAAAATTAATCCGTGCAAGACACCCAAAAGTATGAAAAAATTTTTTTTACCACAAAAAAATGTTAATTTTAGTACACACAAACTGAAAAAGGCATGCACAATTACATGACACTTACTTTTATTGAAGATCTGGTGATGATTGATGGGATGGGAGGAGGGGAGAGAGAGTGTTAGTGTTTAGAAGGGGAATCCCCTTCCATTAGGACTTGAGGTAGCAAGTCCTTTTCTGGGTTACTTCCCTTCTTCTTTTAATGCCACTAGGACCAGCTTCAGAGTCACTGGACTTCTTTCGCACAACATATCTGTCCATAGTGGCCTGTACCTCTCGTTCCTTTATGATTTGTCTAAAGTGGTTCACAACAGTGTCATTGTAACAGTCACCAGCACGGCTTGCAATAGCTGTGTGAGGTGATTTTCATCAAAAAAGGTTTGCACTTCAAGCCATTTTGCACACATTTCCTTAATCTTTGAAGTAGGCAATTCCTTCAATTTCTCTCTCCCCTCCTTTGAACCAGTTTCCCCAGGTCTGGCCTCTTGCTCTTGAAGTTGATCTATCAGCTCATCAGTGGTTAGTTCTTCATTGTCCTCCTCCACCAACTCTTCCACATCCTCCCCACTAACCTCCAACCCCAAGGACTTCCCCAATTCCACAATTGATTCCTCAACTGGTATACTACTCCTCTCAGGTTAGCCTCAAACCCTTCAAAATCCCTTTTGTCTACACATTCTGGCCACAGTTTCTTCCAAGCAGAGTTCAAGGTTCTCTTAGTCACTCCCTCCCAAGCCTTACCTATAAGGTTTACACAATTGAGGATATTAAAGTGATCCTTCCAAAACTCTTTTAGAGTCAATCGAGTGTCTGTGGTCACTTCAAAGCACTTTTGAAACAGAGCTTTTGTGTACAGTTTCTTGAAGTTGGAAATGACCTGCTGGTCCATGGGCTGCAGGAGAGGAGTGGTATTAGGAGGCAAAAACTTCACCTTAATGAAGCTCATGTCCCCATAAAGTCGCTCTGCCACGTCTGTAGGATGACCAGGGGCATTGTCTAACACCAGGAGGCACTTAAGGTCTAATTTCTTTTCAGTTAGGTAATCTTTCACATTGGGGGCAAATGCATGGTGTAACCAGTTATAGAAAAATTCCCTAGTGACCCATGCCTTACTGTTTGCCCTCCACAGCACACACAAATTATCCTTGAGGACATTCTTTTGCCTGAACGCTCTGGGAGTTTCAGAGTGATACACTAATAAAGGCTTAACTTTGCAATCACCACTAGCATTGGCACACATCAACAAAGTAAGCCTGTCTTTCATAGGCTTATGTCCTGGGAGTGCCTTTTCCTCCTGAGTAATGTAGGTCCTGCTTGGCATTTTCTTCCAGAACAGGCCTGTTTCATCACAATTAAACACTTGTTCAGGTTCCAGTCCTTCAGTTTCTATGTACTCCTTGAATTCCTGCACATATTTTTCAGCCGCTTTGTGGTCCGAACTGGCAGCCTCACCATGCCGTATCACACTATGGAATGCCACTACGCTTCTTAAATCTCTCAAACCAACCTTTGCTGGCCTTAAATTCACTCACATCATCACTAGTTGCAGGCATTTTTTTAATTAAATCGTCATGCAACTTCCTAGCCTTTTCACATATGATCGCTTGAGAGACGCTATCTCCTGCTAGCTGTTTTTCATTTATCCACACCAATAAGAGTCTCTCAACATCTTCCATCACTTGCGATCTTTGTTTCGAAAACACAGTTAAACCTTTGGCAACAACAGCTTCCTTGATTGCCGTTTTCTTGCCCACAATAGAAGCGATGGTTGATTTTGGTTTCTTGTACAACCTGACCAGGTCGGTGATACGTACTCCACTTTCATACTTATCAATGATCTCTTTCTTCATTTCAATGGGTATTCTTACCCTTTGAGGTGTAGGGTTGGCACTAGAAGCTTTCTTGGGGCCCATGGTCACTTATTTTCCACAAACAGCACCGAAAACACTGTAATAATACGAAATATTCCGAGTGTATGCTTGAATGTTACCGCGGAGGCTGGCTGGTAAACAATGGGACGGGCGGCACATGTGAGGCTGGCTGAGGGCGCACATTGGACACGTCTCGGACGAAGGTCGCTGAGCGGGTTTTTGTCCACTATGCGGGGCAAAATTTTAGCGAACAAAGCGTTCGCTATGCGGATTGTTCGCTATGCAAGGCGTTCGCTATGCGGGGGTCCACTGTACTGAGAATTGGTAATACCCATATGTATTACTGAAGTTTATATAAATATGAGCATGATTTCTGGAAGAGCTAAAATTTTAAATAAAATTGATTGGAAACCCGAGCTTATACATTTTTGCTGCTCTTGTTTTATTAGTAGTGATTAGATTATAAACTGGAAGGTTAACTGGTTTTCCTGGGCCATTTTTTGGCACTTAGCAACACACATTTGAAGATGTGTCTTTGGCTCTTTCATGTCTTTATTACGAATAAAAGTCAGGCTACCATGGCTGGAGCATCTCACTATTATCCCACAATTTGGAAAGGAAACTTTTAGGTGACTTCTGGTCCATCTGGACCTTTATCAAGAAATAATGGAATGAGGGAGGACCTAAATGTGGTGTAAAGCTTCATTTTGTTACAGTCACGATTAACAATCTTTTCTCTGTCCGCCACAATTATCATTACTGGCCACCCACTCCCTCCAATTAGTTTGTTAAATTGAGGGTTTGCTGTACTTAAGAGATTTGTTTTAAGGTCAAATTTAACTACAATTTATTTTTCCCAAGATGTAAAATTTGATTGCACAGTTAAAAATGCTATTTTAATATGAGATTTGAAATTTATATGAATAACCTTCAGATATGGTTATAATAGGTTGTTATTTAAAAGTATCATATTCAAAAATAGTATCATATTTTCTGGCCTATAAGGCATGCGTATCATTGTCATTAGCCCTTGAATTAAAGTATCATTAGCCCTTGAATTAAAGTATCATTGAATTAAAGTATCATTAGCACTTGAATTAAAGTATCATTGTCATTAGCCCTTGAATATGATTACTGATTTACCATTATGATACTTATGTCGTGCATCTTGTATGCCAGAAAATATGGTAAATACTCTAATGATTGTACAGAAAAAGTTATTGGTCAGTGTATCATGTCCAAATATGAGCGGAAGATATTTTCCAGGTGACATCAGACAAGGCTAGAAGTGGCATCAGCACATCAGTGCAGCACCGTACTCTTATAAATTCTGCCATCATGACTCAGTTGGCTCCTCTTTTGGTTTGTAAAAAGCTTTATTTTTTGTAGTTCTTTATAAACTTACATTGCTCCTATAGTTTATATTAAATTTAGTTATATAATCAACAGAAAACATTGTGTGTAAATATGTATTTTTTTTTTTTTTTTGCAATTACTGTATTTCTTGTTACATTCATTCTACCTCCTTACCTTTTACATTGAAGAGGTGTTTTCAGCTTTCACTGTGGATCATTTGATTGTGTAATTTTCAGTTATACATATTCTCTTGTTCTTGATTCATTCCTCATCAATAATCTATACTGTATATGTCCCAGTATAAATATATATATATTTTTTTTTTTATTATTATTATTATCACACTGGCCGATTCCCACCAATGCAGGGTGGCCCGAAAAAGAAAAACTTTCACCATCATTCACTCCATCACTGTCTTGCCAGAAGAGTGCTTTACACTACAGTTTTTAAACTGCAACATTAACACCCCTCCTTCAGAGTGCAGGCACTGTACTTCCCATCTTCAGGACTCGAGTCCAGCCTGCCGGTTTCCCTGAACCCCTTCATAAATGTTACTTTGCTCACACTCCAACAGCACGTCAAGTATTAAACACCATTTGTCTCCATTCACTCCTATCAAACACGCTCACGCATGCCTGCTGGAAGTCCAAGCCCCTCGCACACAAAACCTCCTTTACCCCCTCCCTCCAACCTTTCCTACGCCGACCCTTACCCCGCCTTCCTTCCACTACAGACTGATACACTCTTGAAGTCACTCTGTTTCTCTCCATTCTCTCTACATGTCCGAACCACCTCAACAACCCTTCCTCAGCCCTCTGGACAAGAGTTTTTGTAATCCCGCACCGCCTCCTAACTTCCAAACTACGAATTCTCTGCATTATATTCACACCACACATTGCCCTCAGACATGACATCTCCACTGCGTCCAGCCTTCTCCTCGCTGCAACATTCATCACCCATGCTTCACACCCATATAAGAGTGTTGGTAAAACTATACTCTCATACATTCCCCTCTTTGCCTCCAAGGACAAAGTTCCTTGTCCTATACACGAAATCACAGCTTCCCTATCTTCATCAACATTTAACAATTCCTCAAAATATTCCCTCCATCTTCCCAATACCTCTAACTCTCCATTTAATAACTCTCCTCTCCTATTTTTAACTGACAAATCCATTTGTTCTCTAGGCTTCCCTAACTTGTTAATCTCACTCCAAAACTTTTTCTTATTTTCAACAAAATTTGTTGATAACATCTCACCCACTCTCTCATTTGCTCTCTTTTTACATTGCTTCACCACTCTCTTAACCTCTCTCTTTTTCTCCATATACCCTTCCCTCCTTGCATTGCTTCTACGTTGTAAAAACTTCTCATATGCTAACTTTTTCTCCCTTACTACTATTTTTACATCATCATTCCACCAATCGCTCCTCTTCCCTCCCGCACCCACTTTCCTGTAACCACAAACTTCTGCTGAACACTCTAACACTACATTTTTAAACCTACCCCATACCTCTTCAACCCATTGCCTATGCTCTCATTAGCCCATCTATCCTCCAATAGCTGTTTATATCTTACCCTAACTGCCTCCTCTTTTAGTTTATAAACCTTCACCTCTCTCTTCCCTGATGCTTCTATTCTCCTTGTATCCCATCTACCTTTTACTGTCAGTGTAGCTACAACTAGAAAGTGATCTGATATATCTGTGGCCCCTCTATAAACATGTACATCCTGAAGTCTACTCAACAGTCTTTTATCTACAATACATAATCCAACAAACTACTGTCATTTTGCCCTACATCATATCTTGTATACTTATTTATCCTCTTTTTCTTAAAATATGTATTACCTATAACTAAACCCCTTTCTATACAAAGTTCAATCAAAGGGCTCCCATTATCATTTACACCTGGCACCCCAAACTTACCTACCGCACCCTCTCTAAAAGTTTCTCCTACTTTAGCATTCAGATCCCCTGCCACAATTACTCTCTCACTTGGTTCAAAGGCTCCTATACATTCACTTAACATCTCTCAAAATCTCTCTCTCTCTCCTCTACATTCCTCTCTTCTCCAGGTGCATACACACATATTATGACCCACGTTTTGCATCCAACCTTTACTTTAACCCTTTGAGGGTCCGTCCCGTAGATCTACGGCTTTACGTTCAGGGTCCAAACCGTAGATCTATGTCATGAGCTCAGCACACTCTGATAAACTGTGAGTGGTAAATTTGGGCCTAGATATGAGAGAATACATCTATGTGGTATGTGTGCACCACATAAAACAGATCCTGCAGCACGCTGTGTATAATGAGAGAAAAAAACTGAAATCATGATTTTTCGATTAAAACAGCGACTTTGCAGTGTTTTTTCGTATGTTTTTTATAGTTCTATTTGTGATTTCTTGGTCTCATTTGATAGAATGGAAGACATGTTACAGAAATAAAGATGATTTTGATTGGTTTTAGCACTGGAAATGGCTTGAAAATGAGCTCAAAGTAGCAGAAATGTTAAATTTTTGCTGATATTCAAGAGTCAACAAACGACCTCACGCGTCTAATACACGCCAGCTGGTGGGTCTATTATGCACTCACAAATATGGTGATGATACTTATACAATTATTACAGTATTGCATAACAGTAAATCTTCTATTTTTTGGTGTGAATGAAAATTCATTATGTGAATAAAAAATAGGTAGTAGGTTGGCAGACAGCAACCACCCAGGGAAGTACTACCGTCCTGCCAGATGACTGTGAAACAGAAACCTGTAACTGTTTTGCATGATGGTAGGATTGCTGGTTTCTTTTTCTGTCTCATAAACACGCTAGATAACAGGGATATCTTGCTACTCCTACTTACACTTTGGTCACACTTCACAGACACGCACATGCATATATATATATATATATACATACATCTAGGTTTTTCTCCTTTTTCTAAATAGCTCTTGTTCTTTATTTCTTCTATTGTCCATGGGAAGTGGAAAAGAATCTTTCCTCTGTAAGCCATGCGTGTCGTATGAGGCGACTAAAATGCCGGGAGCAATGGGCTAGTAACCCCTTCTCCTGTAGACATTTACTAAAAAAGAGAAGAAGAAAAACTTTATAAAACTGGGATGCTTAAATGTGCGTGGATGTAGTGCGGATGACAAGAAACAGATGATTGCTGATGTTATGAATGAAAAGAAGTTGGATGTCCTGGCCCTAAGCGAAACAAAGCTGAAGGGGGTAGGGGAGTTTCAGTGGGGGGAAATAAATGGGATTAAATCTGGAGTATCTGAGAGAGTTAGAGCAAAGGAAGGGGTAGCAGTTAATGTTAAATGATCAGTTATGGAAGGAGAAAAGAGAATATGAATGTGTAAATTCAAGAATTATGTGGATTAAAGTAAAGGTTGGATGCGAAAAGTGGGTCATAATAAGCGTGTATGCACCTGGAGAAGAGAGGAATGTAGAGGAGAGAGAGAGATTTTGGGAGATGTTAAGTGAATGTATAGGAGCCTTTGAACCAAGTGAGAGAGTAATTGTGGTAGGGGACCTGAATGCTAAAGTAGGAGAAACTTTTAGAGAGGGTGTGGTAGGTAGGTTTGGGGTTTCCAGGTGTAAATGATAATGGGAGCCCTTTGATTGAACTTTGTATAGAAAGGGTTTAGTTATAGGTATACATATTTTAAGAAAAAGAGGATAAATAAGTATACAAGATATGATGTAGGATGAAATGACAGTAGTTTGTTGGATTATGTATTGGTAGATAAAAGACTGTTGAGTAGACTTCAGGATGTACATGTTTATAGAGGGGCCACAGATATATCAGATCACTTTTCTAGTTGTAGCTACACTGAGAGTAAAAGGTAGATGGGATACAAGGAGAATAGAAGCATCAGGGAAGAGAGAGGTGAAGGTTTATAAACTAAAAGAGAAGGCAGTTAGGGTAAGATATAAACAGCTATTGGAGGATAGATGGGCTAATGAGAGCATAGGCAATGGGGTCGAAGAGGGAAGGGGTAGGTTTAAAAATGTAGTGTTAGAGTGTTCAGCAGAAGTTTGTGGTTACAGGAAAGTGGGTGCGGGAGGGAAGAGGAGCGATTGGTGGAATGATGATGTAAAGAGATAGTAAGGGAGAAAAAGTTAGCATATGAGAAGTTTTTACAAAGTAGAAGTGATGCAAGGAGGGAAGAGTATATGGAGAAAAAGAGAGAGGTTAAGAGAGTGGTGAAGCAATGTAAAAAGAGAGCAAATGAGAGAGTGGGTGAGATGTTATCAACAAATTTTGTTGAAAATAAGAAAAAGTTTTGGAGTGAGATTAACAAGTTAAGAAAGCCTAGAGAACAAATGGATTTGTCAGTTAAAAATAGGAGAGGAGAGTTATTAAATGGAGAGTTAGAGGTATTGGGAATATTTTGAGGAATTGTTAAATGTTGATGAAGATAGAGAAGCTGTGATTTCGTGTATAGGACAAGGAGGAATAAGTCTTGTAGGAGTGAGGAAGAGCCAGTTGTGAGTGTGGGGAAGTTCGTGAGGCAGTAGGTAAATGAAAAAGGGGTAAGGCAGCGAGGATTGATGGGATATAAAGACTAGAAATGTTAAAAGCATGGTGTGGAATAGGTTTTGGATCAACGTGGTTGGTGCAATTATTTATATATGTATGGAAGGAGGGTAGGTACCTAGGGATTGGCAGTAGAGCATGCATAGTTCCCTTTGATAAAGGCAAAAGGGGATATAGAGAGTGCGAAATTTTAGGGGGATTAAGTCTGTGAGTACTACCTGCGGTAAAGTGTATGGTAGAGTTTTTATTGTAAAGAATTAAGTGTAAGACGGAGAATAGGATAGCAGATGATCAAGGAGCTTTTTGGAAAGGTACAGGGGGGTGTGGGGACCAGGGGTTTACAGTGAACATATAAGTGAAACAGTTTTAGATAAGGCTAATGAGGTTATGGGGCATTGGGATTGGAAAAAAAGGCATATGACAGGGGGATAGGGTAGGCAATGTAGGCAGATGTTGCAAGTGCTATGGTGTAGGTTGGGATAGGTTACTG